GTTATTAACCATTGTTACATTGATGTTTCAAGTTCAAATCAATCTTTATTTTAATCCTGTTTCGATAATCTGTCCATAATATATCCATTTAGTTAATGTTTTGGTAGTTATTTACCAAATAATCGACAAAACTATTGTAGACCTAGGACATGTTCATCAACAAATCACATGTTCTAGTCATGCCAGCAGTTATCCAACTCTTACAATTTATTCATCATTTCTATTTTGATTGTGTCTAGTTCAATCATCAAATCTATTCAAGAAAGAAGCTTTCACTTACTGTAACAACCAAAAGTAAATCTTTCTCACTGCGTCATCATTGATAGTTCGAAGTCTATTTTAGGTTAAAGTTTTTTCAGAATATTCATGTCATTTTGATCAATTATGGGCTATTGCCTTAACTTCCGACAAATTGTGAAAATTATCCACTAACCACTGTATGGCATCTTCTATATTAAACATTCTTCCCACAACATAAACCAACAATTATACTGCTGTTTCCATAACTAATCATTCTCATCGACACCATATTTATTTTTGTGCATATTGACTGTTCGGTGTAAAATTTTTATGATTATCAGGTATATTCTTTTTTTTACCTGTCGTCAATTCTGTGTATCATTAATAACCAGTTCTTCCCAATATTGACCATAATTATAATCTCTTTACTCTTCAGTTAGTTATTTATCTTATTCCAATTTTTCAATTACAATGAATCCGTCTACCAGTGTACCGTTAAATGTGCTGTCAGGATATACTGATAATATTAATCATACTATTCGAGAGGTATTTGATAGTGATTATTATGAAATCAACGGTTTGCTCGATCCATTTAAAAACGGGACGCAAAACAATGTGCAACAACATGGTGATGAACTGTACATTCAAAGGTCGATGGATAATGGCTTAGACGAAACGACTAGTGTAGATTTACAAATGATACAAGCCGATCAGGACTCATCGTTTATACAATCTTCAGAGTCAGATATCGAATTGCATAATCTAGAAGAATTATTAGCTCGAACATCGATTAGTGATGTTTACTTAGGACCTGTTAAAAACAATGATGGTAAAATCATTCCTTTAGATGTTGAACGTCGTGCAATTCTCAATAATAGTCTGGCATCATTGCCATATTCTTCAACATCCCTTGCTTTTTCTCCACCTGGTATACAAATTATAACAGAAATGTGGACTACATTTCTACGAGATCGTTTGAGTCATTGTAATAGCCGTATACACAATATGTCTGTAGATAATCTACGCACCTGTCTATATGATCATAGTTTAAATCAATTGGGAAGCACTACCGTATTAAAACGTCGTTTACAAGAGTTTGTGCGACGAGCACGCGTAGCACAATCAATTGATCACAATATTGAAATCCAAATCAGTGATGATGACGGAGATGATAATGAGAATAGAGGTTTCAGCTACGGTGGTCATGATAGTGTTCTTGGCGAAGTTAATCTAAACTCTCAAATAACTAACAATTGTGGGAATGATAGACGCAGACTGACAAATCCATCAGTTACAACGACGACAAAACTACTAAAACCTGTTATATTGACACCAGATACATTCTATGACTACTTATTAATTATTGACCTGGAAGCTACTTGTGAATCAAAAGAGAAGATAACCACTGATGCCGACTATCCACATGAAATCATTGAATTTCCCATATTACTATATAGTACAAGGTTACGCAAGTGCGTCAGTGTATTTCATGCTTATTGTAAGCCAAGATTACATCCAGACCTTAGTGAGTTTTGTACAGATCTAACACAGATTCAACAAATCCAAGTAGATAACGCCCAACCATTTCCTCATGTTTTGTTACAGATTGAAGAATGGCTGTTCAAAAGACATAAACTGGCCAACAAGAGATGTGCTATTGTATGTGATTGTAGTGCAGATATGAGTAAATTTATGCGTATTCAATGTCGTCTGGCTAACATATCTATACCTAGTTGGGCCAATATATGGATTAACTTGACCAAATCATTTCGCGCTTTCTACAAGTTTCCATCACGCTATCGTATAACATTGAATGTTATGTTACATGATTTGGGTTTATCTTTTGTTGGTCAGCGACATCGTGGTTTAGATGATGCTATTAATATACTACGTATCGTACGTGTATTATTGTCTGATGGGTGTTTGCTTCGTGTCAATGAACGTATTGATTTTGATAGACCTCCTTCTTTTGTCTCCTCTGTACCAAGGCATGTGACGCAGGTCACATCAGGTTTGATGGGGAGCAAACTGGTTTTACTATCACCATCTCCACGAAAAAACAAATCAAACAGTACCGGGTTTGGTCGTCACAATCGTACTGTTGGAAACAAACACGTAACTCCAAGTGATCTTGACGACAGCAATCGAGAATCGTTATTATGGTTAGCCAGTATTCAGAAAACTCGGATAAATAGAGATAATTAAGCATGTTCACATTTTCATATTTCGTTTACACTCTTTCAAAGTTTAGCGTAGTAGATGTCTCTTTTTTCATTAGTAACTTTTGTTTCTATCTTTATGCATAACTAACTCATATGTCCTAATGTATGCTTATTTTGACTGTTTTCTATTATTCAAGTACTATAAATATACTGCACAGAAATATATACAGTTGCAAACTGGTAAAATGATCAGAAATTAAGTAACCTATTCGGTTGGATTATTTGCCCCTAAATATCTATAAAAAAATAGTTATGTGGAGATTTATTTTTCGTGTGTTTATGATTTCTCTCCCTAATCTCATGTTTTATTCTCAGCTTCCTACCAAAAAGCCTGTATGATTGATTGTCTCAGTTAAAAAGGGATTGATGATAATAAAGTAGTTAACCAAACTTCTATTATTTGTTTTTGGCTATCTGCTTTCTATTAGTTTTCTTTTAACGTTAAATTATAACGATGTGTAAGCTTAATTATTTTTGTTGTCTTAAAAAAATTCAGGTTTTATTCTGTACACAAGAATTTTGTGATGGCCTATGGATTAATGTCACAAAATCCTTTCTTCCTATGCTCTTTATTTACATGTATTAGTCTCTTTTATTTAGAACATTTTGTTTCAATATTTTTTCATTATGAACTGATGTGATGTAATATAAAGCAATTGAATTATCTCTGTCAGAATAATAATGATTGTTTATTGATACATTCTCTTTGACTGCACCTATCACGAATAATTCAAGTGGAAATTCATTTGTACATAGTTCTGATTTTTTCTAGTAGTATGTTCTTTACACATTAAGCGAACATTTATAACTTAAAAGGTTTTATTTTGAGGTTGGGAGAATTCCGTTGTGATGAAATACATTTCCTCATATTTCAGATCACAACTGCAGTTAACGATATTAATTTCTGATTAAATATAAGCCACACAATCGTTTAATTAGTATTGTATTGCACAAGACACCATACAACTTGATACGTATAGTGAAAGTGTGATTGGTTGCTGAGCGCGGACAAACAGGCACTTAGCCTAATTAACTATTAAATATGTGATTCCCTTCCCTCCCATTGATCTCTATTCCAGACTCACCGAGTTTCACTGCTTGTAACTATGTTGAATAAATTATTATCTAGTATTAATCTGGTTCTGTATTCTGGTCGTGAATGCTTGATCTAATATAACGTATACCGAAGAAGAGAAAAATATTTTGAACCGTCCGGTATATTATAATTCAGAGTTGTCAAAGCGAAAGGAAATGGAAAATCGTAGGGGTACAGATACTATTAGTAGTAAATTACTAAAATAAAGTATATGCAAAATCGCGTTAATACGGAATGATAAGATGCTTACGGCTGAAAACCGAAAAATGAAAATATTGCACCTGATATGATTGCCTTAATCTCTAAACATTAATTATGACTTCCTTGAAATCGTAGCCAAATTACTTTGAGATAACACTAGCCCTAAAAATAACGGAATTTAAATAGAGCAAGAACAAACATTGATGCAGAATAATGTTTGTTCTTGAGAACACACAACGTTACCAGTGCAAGGTTTGCTCGGAAGGCATTTTTGTCACAGTTAGCGTAAGACTTTAAGTTATGGGGCACCAGGACTCCTAAATCTTTTTCGACTTGGGATACTACTAGAGAGGAGTTTCCTAAGTTGTAACTGTAGTTTGCGACATGTCGCAGATGGACTACTTTACACTTTGAAGTGTTAAAGGTAAGTCCGTTATCGTCTGCCCAACTTTGAAGTCGAGTCAGATCTTCCTGAAGTGCCTGTGTATCGTCTTGGTTGCGTATCTCTCTCCAAAGTTTCACGTCGTCGGCAAAAAGTAATAAGTCTGACGTTACCTGTTGAGGAAGATCATTTATGTAGATCAAGAAGAGAAGAGGCCCTAGTACTGAGCCCTGGGGGACCGCACTAGGACATTCCATAGCCTGAGATAAAGTGAAATTAACCCTAACCTTAAAGTGTCGATTTTTTAGGTATGAAGTAAGCCAGTCGATTAGAGGTGGTTTGATACCAAAGACGAGCCGCTGTATAAGTATAAAAGAGGGTGAATAATGTGGAAAATAATAATAATTTGAATCATTTGATTGTTATTCGAAGCAAGAAAAGTAGTTTCCATAGATATAGAGAGTTCATCATTTGCGTGTGGGCTGCGATACTGCTCGGTTGCCCAGACCGAAGCAGGTGGACATCTTAGGGGGCCACCCCCGAGCCTTTTACCTAAAGGTCTGACCCACAAGGCAGTGGAGCATCGTGAGGAGATGCAGTCACATGGTAGCCGGTGACCAACGATTGGTTCATACGCCATTTGTTCCCGCAGGACACTGTACACCATTGGTTTGGGATCCGGTTAAAGCGCCGGACATTCGCTTTTCGTCCACTCATTTTTGTAAACAACACCCCCGCCACGAGAAGGCAATGAGTAGGACTTCCCTGGCAGAGGCTGTATACGCGTGTCCGTGTGAGAGTATTTCGAGAGGGACAGCGGACTCTCCCTACTCTCGGCCATACCAGGGCATTTGGGGGGTCAACTATTATCAGGCCGGAGACGTGTTGATGATGTACGAGATGATCGAGTAGAATGTGAATGTTTCGGTAATACGACAATAGCATGATTTGTTGTAACATTTTGATTAGTTTTTAGCATGAATAAATCAGGATAAGACGATTTCTTTCGTTCAGTCAATACCATTTTTATATTTGACAAAGGGATAGAATTAATTTCTTTTAAATCATTACTATTATCATTTATGGATTTAATAATGCAATCATTTGGTAACATATATTGAGGTGAAGTAGTTGACTGTGTCATTAAATCAGATTGATGAGGATAAGATAAAAATGTAGCATATGATACATCATTTCTGGGGGTCAATATATTAGTGGCAGTCGTTGTAGTGTTAGAATTGTTACACGTAAATTGATTCTTCCTCCATTTCAATGTAGGAGTAAGTGCGGATTCGTGTGATGCTAGCATTTTTTCATTTTTGCCTTGACTCACTGAACTCATGAATAAATTGGATTCTAAAAAATTTCAACAGAAATAACAAGCATGGAAGAGACAGGAAAGCGATAAGAAATCTTTTTACTATTAATGGAAATATGACATTATTTTTTAGAAATACCATTTATCTGATTAACACCAATTACAGGTGTTACGTATTTGACTACTTTATGTTTGTCCGCCTAATTGTACTACAACTACTTATTTAAAATGCAGTGGACAGAAGGACGGAGGGTTCGAGCTTACGGTTTGGTGGGTTGGAGTTGGAAGATTTAACCAGTGGGTTATCATCGTTCCAGAAACTGCATGTAGCTTATTTTAATTGAGATTTGTTATATCTTGCACAAAATATTGATATGTTACTACTGGTATGTTTTTTGACTATGTCTGTGAAATAACTGCTTTCTGCTAATTGTTCAATAGAACAAGACTGAAATGGCTCGATGCAATGAATAAAGTAAGACTTGATGTAGATATATCTACGTATTTTCTTCATTCCTATACAAATTTTCCACTTTTGATTTGGGTCCGATTAAGTAGGGTTTTTTAGAAGATGCGAGGTTTAGTGGCGGGTGTCAACGTAAAAATTAGTTATCCGTCTTAAAATTAAACATTGAGGTTTATTTGTACTGAGCAGTTATCGTACAGCAATCATTTTCTTTTGGTTTCTAAGCCACTAATACCTTTCTAATTTTATAGATAAAATTAGCAATGAGGTCTCTAGTGATATGTATATTCAATGATTTTTGTAATTACAAAATAAAGACCACACTTTTTCCTTGTTTGTGACACTGTATATGTAATCACACTTATATTCAATATCTATTGTTTCTCTGTATCGATGGTAAACATGGGTATGATTGTACTAATACTAATAAACAATATCGCTGTTATTAATATAAACGCTATCTCTGTCGTCTAATTTTTTTAATTTATTGACCACGGCCTGTGATTGGAGGTTGTAGTCGTGTTATAACATTCTTTTAGACCGTTCTACATTATGCCGGAGTTTTGGCCCTTATTATTATTTAATAATACTGTTGAATTTAAGCTTTCTCATCACGTCGTTGGTGCCAGCACGTGCAGAGGAACATTCGTTAATCAAGTGAACTCATCTGTGGTTGTTATCTCAGGAGCTTACAAGTAACATTCATTTCATAACAACTGTTATCACTTTGTTATTTATTATACCATTTTGTTGTGTGCTACTTGTTACCGTTTTGGTTCACTCAGAAACGGATACTTCGGATTGTAATGTTCATATTTTTGATATATCATTATTAACAGTGAGTATAGTTATATTTTTATTAAGCTTTTTTACTGGGATTTACCATAGGCGCACTAAATTAAGGGACTTCATTAGGTGGTACATTTTATTCGTTGATGAATAGTTGGTTACTGTTACTACTACTACTCGTCTGCGATTTTTGTCCTACTAATGTGTAACAACTTGAAATGATGAACATTTACAGTGAATTATACGTTGCTTTATATGACTGACTGAGCTGAAGGGGCTTGTCATCAGCGAATAGTAGGACGGATAATTTCGCTATAGTTGGTAGTTCATTTACATAAAGTAAGGAGAGAAGAGGACCGAGAATTGTGCCTTAGGAAACTCCACTTTTTACAAATACCCACGAAGGGAGGGCCCCATTTACCCTTACCCTTTGTCTCCTGGCATTCAGAAAGTTACTTATCCAATCTACGACTGTATAATGGATTCCAAAACGTTCCAGTTTGAATTCAAGACCACAGTGGGAGACTTTATCGAAAGCCTTACTTAGATCTATGAAGATCACATCCACAGGAATATTCTGACCTTTTGCAGCAGCCCAATCTTCACTTGCAATGAGAAGATTTGTCAGGCATGATAGGCCTTTCCGAAAACCATGTTGTTCCCTGCAGAAAAGATTGTGCCCTTCAACATAGTTTATAAAAGAAATCGGAATGATTTTTTCTACCAGTTTTACAACTGCACTAGTTAAGCTAACAAGTCTATGGTTACTAACTAAATCCCTACTCCAAGCCTTATACACTGGACTTATTATAGCATCTTTCCAGTCTCTAGGATGTCTGGACTGTCCCAGAGACATGTCGAATAGTATCGCTAATGGTTCAGCAATTTCATCTGATATGGCTTTCATAATCCTAGGATAAATATCATCAGGACCACTGGACTTATCAGGTTTGAAATGCTGAGGTATCCTTAAAACAGTATCTTTCTCAATGACTACAGGATCCATCAGCGAGCCGTCACGGTTGCGATGAATCGTTGGTCGTTCCTCATTACCGATAGAAAACACTTTACTGAAATATTCCGATAAAGCTTCAGCTTTTTCGGTATCATTTTCTGCCAAGATTAACGGATTTTCTTGTATCAAAAGTGGTGGAATTCCATCGCTTCTTTAAGTTCGTCCTTTCAAATACGTGAATAAAAGTTTCGGACTATATCTAGAATCCCTAACCAATCGTTTTTCATATGATCGTCTAGTATTACTTATTAACACTTTACAGGTATTCCTAATCTTACAATAACTGGATATGTATTGTTCTAAGCCAGTAGAGATGAACATATTCCAGTGCTTCTTCCTTTTTCTAAGGAGTTTCCTGACTGGTTTCGTTATCCATGGTGGACTGTTATTCGGTCTTCGCGGTACCAGGTATGGTATGAACGGGAACGTAACTAAACTAAACGTACCTTTAAATACAGACCATGCCTCTTCAACTGATAAGCTAGTATCTACAAACCAATCTGTCTTATCAGCGCATTACTGAATGGCTGATATGTTAGCTTTTCATACATTTGGGCGAGGTGTAACCTGATCGTATAACATGTCCCTAGTTCTAAACATAAATGACAAAACAGTGTGATCGCTGTCCACTAATGACGGAAGAATATTTAGGTTGACAATATCCTCAGTATCATGAGTGATTACCAAGAGAAGAACCTTGGTTAGCACCAAAACGTGTGGGTTTGGATACATGCTGCACTAGTGCATGCTCCATTATTGTTACCAGGAACCTACTATCAAAGGAGTTTATCGATCCTTCCGTGGTCATCTCAGTCCAACTGATGTCAGGTGCATTAAAGTCTCCTATTATCAAGCGTCTGGTATTTGCACTCCAAAGATGAATGTGCTCTAAAATAAAGTTATCGGCTAAGCATATTGGACTGCGATAGTGACACCGAGCATAAATGTACTACATCCGATAGCCATTTTACAGATAATGAAATCACAAGTAACGCTATCATGGGATTCGCTAGCAGAGGAGCGGATATTTATATTATTAGCTATATATAACAGGACGCCACCTCCTTTTCTACATCTATGTCTATCACTCCTGATGTAATGGTATCCGGATAATTCTGGAGTAATGTCTAAGTCATAGACTAACCAAGTTTCTGTCACTGCTACGATGAGTGGCTTTTATCTGTCCACCAATGCTTCTAGTTCATAGAACTTATTTCTTAGACTACGAGCGTTGGCATATAAAACTCCTAAGTAGAACGGCCTATCCACACAGGCCTTGGTAGCATTCGCTTCCAAGACCTGAGTATCCGAAAACCCATTAGCCGGAGATTTTCCTAACCGTTTTGCCGACATGTTTCTAGTTCAGCTAGGGGTAAAAAATCACTGCTCTTTTTGAAACACCGACGACAAACTAATATGGAAGCAGAAACGATACTGTAATCGAATACTTTAACTGAAATAAATTCAGTTAAAGTGAAAACAGTAATCTTGATACGTAATAACGATCAAAACAATAGAATTTACTGAACGAGGAAAAATACCTTTGTCCTCTTAATTAGCCTTGAATCCTTAATATATGATTTCAATATGCGATATATTTGTAACCAGCTTCCCATATACACATTATTCTTGTGACGATGTTGAATAAATTAGTTGATTTGTTCGCATCAGCTTCTTATCGTTTTGGTGCGGTATCAGGTTATTTGTAACTCCCTATTGGTGAGGTGAGTAACCTAGCCATTCGTTGCACTAGTCACTTCGGGAGTTATTTGTGGGTTTTTACATCTTCGTCCACCCCGTACACATCAAAGAATGCAGCTGAACACAACTAGTGTATCAGCAGCCTCCGCGTCAATAGGCATCAACATACGCAAAGGAAAAAGCAAAGTCCTTATGTACAACGAGAAGAACACCAACCCATTCATATTTTATGAGGAATCTCCGGAAGGGGTGAAAACCTTTACGTACTTGGTCAGCGACATCATCGATGAGCAAGAAGGTTTTGAAGCAGACGTAAATTCAAGGGTTGGTAAAGTATAGGTGACATTTCAAAATCACATTCAGAATCTTCAATAAGAATGTCAAGACAGTTCTACTGTACGGAGCTGAGACGTGGAAAACTGCTACAACCATCATGAAAAGGGTACGCAAGATACTAAATATTCGTTGGCCGGATACCACATGCAACAGCTTATCACTTGAACAATTTGAGGACAAACCAGCTTTCAGCTGACAAGGAAGTTAGGCAAAGGTGCTGGAAATACATATGAAACACATTACGAAAATCATCAAACTGTATTTCGAGGCAAGAGCTAACTTGAATCCTGAAGGGGGGCGGAAGAAAGGAAAGCTCAAGAGCACAATGAGTCGGTAATTGGAACCAGAAATGAAAAGGATGGATAGCAACTGGGAAGAACTGGAAAGGATTTCCCAAGATAGAGTTGGGTGGGGAATGCTTGTGAGCGGTCTATGTTTCTCTACGAGGAGTAACAGGCGTAAGTACGCAGGTAGGTACTTCGTATAGCGTGTATACATGCACCTGTTTTACGACGTTGGGGTTTCTAGAATCAGCAGTGCTTACTTAACCGGGTTAGAGTTTGTCTAGTTGCAATGTAAAAATAGTAAAGAAAAATTCGAATGATAGAGGGCTGCGAGAGGGTGGTTGTTGGATGTAAATAGATAAGTTTATGAATAGTGTGAACAGCATGGGGACCCCCAAATACGGAAATAACAGGTAAGTGAAGCTCATAAGCTGGTAGTATATGATAGAAGTAATAATAATTTACGAGATATGCATGAGGTACA